GGGGGGGATGCTGAACCAAGCCAAATGCTGGGGCTGTGGCTCAGTTGGTAAAGTGCTGACCTAGTGCATACAAAGCCCTGATCTGATCTCCAATACCCATAATGGGGCATGGTGGCACACACCTGTAACTCAGCATTTAGGATGTGGCGGCAAGAGAATCAGGAGTAAGTTCAAATTCAAGGCCAGCCTAGAATACATGAGGCCCCTGGGAAGGAGGGTTGAGAGAAAGGGAGAGTGTTAAATCATTCCAGCCTTACTTTCATGGGCTTTTTATAGAATCACACCATCCTATATTCACATCCTCAAGTTTTTGGTGCAGGTCTCCCTATAATTTATGCTCTTGACTACAAAATGTCTGAGAGAAGAGAATCTTGGTATTTTGTCCTCTATAGACAGAATGCATAAATTATTTCATCCTTTTTCTTAATTCTCTGGAGGCAAGATAAACCAACACCATTAAGAGAAACTATCCCACAAGTGGTCTGGAGAGACGGCTCAGAGGTTAAGAACATTTCCACAGTTCCAATCCCCAGCACCCACATGGTGGTACACAACCATGCAAGGTTCCAGTCTCAGGAGATCTGGAGTCCTCTTCTGGCCTCCGTGGTCACTGGGCACCGGTCACACACATGGAATACAGACATACATGCAAAGCATCCATATAATAAGATAATTTTTTTTTTTTTTTTAGTTTTTCAAGACAGGGTTTCTCTGTGTAACATCCCTGGCTGTCCTGGAACTTGTTTTGTAGACCAGGCTGGCCTTGAACTCAGAGATCCACTTGCCTCTGCTTTCTGAATGTTGGGATTAAAGGCGTGCGCCACCACCGCCTGGCTGTTTCCTCCAGTCTTTTTTTTTTTTTTTAATTTATTTATTTATTATGTGTACAGTGTTTTGCTTGCATATATCCCTTCAGGCCAGAAGAGGGAGCAAGATCTTCATTACAAATGGTTGTGAGCCACCATGTGGTTGCTGGGAATTGAACTCAGGACCTCTGGAAGAACAGCCAGTGCTCTTAACCTCTGAGCCATCTCTCCATCCTCTCCTCCAGTCTTTATCAATGTGGACTTCCCAGTATAAAACAACATTAACTGAGCTGGAGAATGACTCAGTGGTTAGGACTAATTGCTGCTCTTGTGGAGAACTCAGGCTCAGCTCCCAGCACCCACACAGTTATAACGACCTGTAACTCCAGTTCTAGTGGGTTCAATGCCTTCTTCTGACCTTCTCAGGCATATATATGATGTGCATACATATAGCAAAACACTCATATAAATAAAATTAATAAATCTGACAGAAAAAAAAAAAACAACTAAAAAAGAAACAGATTTCTAGGGCCGGAGAGATGGCTCCATGGTTCAGAGCACTGCTGCTCTTCCCTAAGACCAGGCTGGTGTCCAGCACCACATGGCGGCTCACCACTAGCTCTTTACTCCAACTCCAATTTCAGGGAGTCCAAGGCCTGGGTGTACTAGGCACACATACTACACACATGTACACATTAGGCAAAACATAAAATAAAAACAGGCTGGGCGGTGGTACCGCGTGCCTTTAATCCCAGCACTTAGGAGGCAGAGCCAGGCGGATCTCTATGAGTTCAAGGCCAGCTTGGGCTACAGAGTGAGTTCTTGGAAAGGCGCAAAGCTACACAGAAAAACCCAACCCGCGTCTTGAAAAAACCAAAACAAACAAACAAAAACAAAAAACAAAAAAAATCTTAAAAAATACCTTTTTCTACATTAAAAAAATGGCATCTTACAAAGGAGCTTAGGAATGAATAATTTTGTTTTGTTTTTGTTTTCTCTTGCTATGTTGAATGTCTCTCCCTCTAAACCTCACATATTGGAGTTTTACTCCTTAGAATAGCCAAGTGAGATGGCGATGGTACACACCTTTGATCCCAGTACTTGGGAGGCAGAGGAAGGCGGATTTCTGAATTTGAGGCCAGCCTGGTCTACAGAGCAAGTTCTAGGACAGTCAGGATATAGAGAGAAACCTTGTCTTGAGGGGAAAAAATAAAAATAAATAAATAAATAAATAAATAAATAAATAAATTTTTTTGAGCTGAGGAGCGAACCCAGGGCCTTGCCACTGAGCTAAATCCCCAACCCAACAAAATAAAATTTGTAAAAAAGACCTAATGGAAAGTCTCTAGGCCATTGGGATGTTGACTTCAGGAGGGAATGCTGGTCCCCTCCACTGAATTCTGTGTATAAAAGTCTGATCCTGAGCCCTGAGTCTCTCCTGCTTCCTGTCTGGTGAGGTGATCTGTTACCACAGTCTCCTGCTGCCTAGGTGCCCTACCATCAGACTTTCACCAGAACTAACCAGAAGCTAGCACCATGTCCTTGAAACCCCAAACTCCACTAAATACGATGATTTTTTTGAGACAGGGTTTCTCTGTATAGCCTCGCTCTCCTGGAACTCATTCTGTAGACCAGGCTGGCCTTGAACTCGGAGATCCACTGCCTCTGCCTCCCAAGTGCTGAGATTAAAGGCGTGTATCACAACTGCCCTGCTTTATAAAGCTGATTTTAAAAAGCAGCCTGAACACCAGGCAGTGGTGGTGCACACCTTTAGTCCCAGCACTCAGGAGGCAGAGCCAGGCAGATCTTTGTGAGTTCGAGGTCAACCTGGTCTACAGAACGAGATCCAGGACAGGCACCAAAACTACAGAGAGAAACCCTGTCTCGGGGCTGGGGGGGGGGGGGAACGAAAACAAAAAACAGCCTGTTTCAGCATTTTACTGTATCTCTTTCTATGTAAATGATATGTTTTACTAATTCTAACATCACATAAAATGGGTGACAGGTAATTTTTTCTAAAATAAAGAAGCATGGGCTTCCAAAGGAACAGCAGAACCAACAATAATTTTTTAAAAAAGAATACTACAGCCCATGGTGGTCCATAATTCAAAACGATTCACACACCCACACTAAAGAAAATCCATGTTTGCCATGTTTGCTTATATAATGGTTATTGGACAGAAACCAAATATGTTATTTTTAGTCTATTTTCCAAGTAACTTAAGATATAAATCTACCTTGTCTTACATTAGAAGTATTCTACCACTGAATTACATTAGACCCAAAATTCATAACAATTTTCTTAGTTATACACTATTAGAATCAAGTAAAAACTTACTGCATTTTTCTCTTAAGCGAAGTTCATAGGATTTTTAAAAATTAAGTATAAATCACATTGTCTGGATTATCTGGGCTGGTAGAGTCTATTATTGGGATCATCATAAACACGAGAAAGTGAGATTCAGATAATGCATGTAATTTGTCTAAGATCATCTAACTACTAAAGATTGTAAACCAGAAAAGGAAGTTAGCCAGTCTTGCTCTGGAGTACCGGCACTTATTAGTGATGAATTCTGCTATACAGCTAGGCTGTAGCTCAGTGGTAAGGTGCTCACTTCGCATGCTGAAGGGCCTGTGCTGGACTCCCAGCATCACTCACATACCCACTGCAAAGGGGACTACGTACAGTTTTCATGTGAAAAGGACTTTATCCCAATCCTTGGGATCTGATTTATAAAGGAAACTCTTGGGGCTGGAGAAATGACTCGTGGTTAAGAGCACGTACTGCTCTTGCAGAAGACCCAGGTTCAGTTCCCAGCACCACATGGTAGTTCACAACCATCCTGAACTCCAGTTCCAGGGAGGTCTGACAACTTTTGACCTCATTGGGCACCAACGAGGGCATGCAAATGGTGCACAGATATTCAGGCATAAGACTAACACACGTACAATAAAATAAACATGAAGAAAAAAAGGCTTCTCTGAAAAGCAAGCAAACATACATATAAAAAACTTGGTAAGACCAGGAAATTTGAGTTTATTCTACATCTTAAATGTGGAATAAATCAATTAAAGCTTAAAACAAAACAAAAATTCTGCAAGGGTCCTTTCGACAGGAGGGGTGGGATGGCTGGCTGGGGTAATGCCTGGACATGAGAAGTCAGTATATTCAGTTTGGGAACAGCAAGCCCAAGACACTGTTAAAGGGGGGATATGCAGACTGTGTACATACCAAGTCCTGAGAGCTGTGTCTGGACTCAAGGCAAACCAAACACATTATCATCATTATTATGAGTGCCTCAACTTTTTATCTTGTCACCTCAACTTGACTGGAAGCCCCCCTAAAAGACAAAGGCCAGACCCTTACTTCAGCATCTGGACTAGGGAAAGACAGGTTTTAAGTGCTAAATAAACATCTGATCAACACATGGACTGATGTATTTCTCTAGTACCTGCTCCTGTCCAGCCTGTGACACCCTTCAGACTTCTTCTGGATCCCCGTTTCATCAGTCTGTCTGTGGATGGCTTACTCAGAGACAGGATGTTGTACAGAATCTACATCAGCCCGAATGCCGGGCTGGAACTTAACTGTTTTTCTTTCAAGTTTCAGTTTCTCACCTCTGTCCAACATTTTTTAGAAACCAATTTGCTTGTTTTCCCAGAGATGTTTCATTCTGACCATGGCTCTTTAAACTTGCACCTTAAGCCATGTGGTCCCAGCCCAATCCCAGATTCTCTAAGGCTCTCATATTTTTTTGAGGAAAACAAAAGCCAACACAAAGAAATGTGATCAACCTCCTCTAATCAATCCATCAATCTATCCATCCATCCATCTATCTACACACTTGGTTTTTGGGTTTTCAAGACAGCATTTCTGAGTTGGCCCTGGCTAGCCGAGAACTAGCTAAATCAGGCTGTTGTAGAATTCGAGGCAATCCTCCTGCCTCTGCCTCCTGAGTGCTAAGACTCAGGCAAGTGCTACCAAGTTTAGCTTCCTTTCCCTACCCTTAAAATAAAAAAGCTAACTGGAAACAGTGCAAGGGAACAGTGGGCTGAGCAGTTTCTTTCCTTTTTTCTTTTCTTTCTTTCTTTTCTTCTTTTGTAAGAAAGGGTCTTACTTTGTAGTCTTGCCTTGAGCTCTCCGGAATCCCACTCACTCAGTATCCTGAGTGCTGAGAACACAAGTGTGAGCCACTACATCCTGGTGTGTGTGTGTGTGTGTGTGTGTGTGTGTGTGTGTGTGTGTGTGTGTGTGTGTGTGTACGTACGTACGTACGTATGTATTAGCTGCTCTTTTAGAGGACCCGGATTCAATCTCCAACAGCCACATGGTGACTCATAAGCACCTGTTACTCCAGGAGATTCAATGCCTTCTGGCTTCTGCAGGCAGACATGTATGTAGTACACAGACATACATGTAGGCAACACATCCATACACATAAAATAAATAAAATCAATTTTAAAATAAAATAAAAGCCAGATAGAGGCCTGAAAGATGGTTCAGCAGTTAACAGCATACACTGCTCTTGTAGAGGACCTGAGTTCAATTTTCAGCACCCACATCAGGCATTTCATTACCACCTGTAACTCCACCTCCAGATCTGACTCTCACATGTACAAACCCACACACAGATACACACATATACACAGAATTAAAAGTAAAATAAATTTTTTAAAAAAGTCAGACAGACTAGGCATGGTAGCAAATTTATAATCTCAGCACTCAGGATGCTAAAGCAAGAGATCATTAGTTCGAGGCCATCCTGGAATATAACATGATCTTGAATGTATGTCTGTATAGCTTAATTAACACTAAGGGGGAAATCTATAAACAGTAGTTACTCACTCCTTAAATAATAGGCAATACATTACAGAAATGCCTGAGAGGAGGGAACAACATGAAACCTCTAATTATCTGAGCTAACTGGAGGGTTTTCAGAGCAAAGAGGGAAAAACAAACAAAGCATAGTAGACTCACTGAGTTGAGGAGACAGCCAAGGTTACAACCGAGAAACCCTGCTTCAAAAAACAAACAAAATCTAGCCAGGCGGTTGTGGCCCATGCCTTTTATCCCAGCATTCGGGAGGCTGAGGCAGGCGGATCTCTGTGAGTTCGAGGCCAGGCTGGTCTACAAAGCAAGTTTCAGGAAAGGTACAAAGCTACACAGAGAAACCCTGTCTCGAAAAACAAACAAACAAACAAACAAACAAAAATCTATAGATGAACTAAGGATTGAATCTTAACCCTAAATTTTGTGAAACTGAGCAGAATGGACTAGGAACCAAGGACAGTGATTTCAAAATGTGATTCATGTGCTTCAAGAATCAGGTCTTATTTTCCATATTTCTTTTCACACACACACATGCATATGAATGCAGGTACCCACGAAGGCCAGAGGCATCTCAAATTCCCTGGAGCTGAGTTACAGGTGTCTAAGAACCGAACTGAGGTCCTCTGCAAGAGCAGTATGTGCTCTTTACCACTGAACCATCTCTCCATCCCCTTTCCATATTTCCAACTGTGACATAAATGGAGAATATCAAACTAGCTAATTTCTAAGGTTCATATTGCTTAATATTATCTCTGGCACAATAAAATTCATAAAACAACTGAAAAATTACAAAGAATTCAGCACTCCAGGGTAAGGAAGGAAGCAAAGTAACAGCAGTGACATTAACAATAATAAGATGTCAAATTTTCATAAAGATATTTCCCAGCTGGAAGGTGGAGGTGCACGCCTTAATCTTAGCACTCGGGAGACAGGAGCAGGCAGATCTCTGTGAGTTCGAGGCCAGCCTGGTCTACAGAGCAAGTTCCAGAACAGCTAAGACTGTTACACAGAGAAACCCTGTCTCAACTTCACCCCCTAAAAAAGGTATTTCCCAAACAGTCATTCCAGAAAATCTGGACTAAACTAAAAAAATTGAAGACAGGCTCACTAAGTTATGAACTCACTATCTGGGCATCCCAGATCAAGAGCTGAGCAATCCATTAAGAACTGCGCTAGTGACTCGCATCCCTGAATGAGTATGCTTTATAGTGCAGACAAGGAATCAATTAAGGGGTTTACAATGAAGTTTTGTTTAACTGGAACGTTTTAAGTGGAAGTTAATTCCACATCAGTGATAATAGATGCTTAATAACTAGCTAGTGACAATTTCTAAGAAAAAGAATTATGGCAGCTAACAGGCAAACAGTAATCTATGTGGCATAAACATAAAAACAACTTGTTTTCAAAAGTGTTCCTGGCTATGAACAACATTTGAGAAACACAAAATATAATTTATCATGAATCAAATTATAAAACCAACTGAAAAGAGAGGCATCTGAAATGTTGGCTCTAACAACCAACAAGGAAATAAAACACACCATTGTGGGCTGAAGTGCCAATTTACACTGGCAAAGAGCCATTCTGTTTGAATTCAAGAACATTCAGGAACCAGCTGGAAAAGTATGGGATACCACATTCATCCACAATGCCTCGTAAGTGGGGCTGTCTTCATTCAAAAAGGACAGTACTGGTATCCACGTCTAAAACAGCCTAAGCTTAGATCAAATTGAGAATTCTAAATACTATTCAGTCTTGAAAAGTAAACATGTCAAATAAATGTATTTCCAATATTACTAGGTTTGTGGACGTTCTAATATCATACAGCAATGGTAAGTGTGATCTGGCAAACTTCTCGAGGACATCTGAGCAATATTTATCAAGAACTGAAACACTGCCGTGCACAGTGGCACATCTGAGGCAGAGGCAGACAGCCACAGTTCAATCAAGGACACTTGGTCTAACAGAGACCTTCTCTCAAATGCCACTCTTCACCAAGAAAAAACTCTAAAATACTGTCTTTTGATCGGTAATACTACATTTGTAATTATTCCTAAATAAATACAGAATACTGGCTATAAGAATATTTTATATTAAAGCCGGGCGGTGGTGGCGCACGCCTTTAATCCCAGCACTCGGGAGGCAGAGACAGGTGGATCTCTGTGAGTTCGAGGCCAGCCTGGGCTACAAAGCGAGTTCCAGGAAAGGCACCAAAACTATACGGAGAAACCCTGTCTCGAAAAAACAAAAAACAAAAATATTTTATATTATTTTATATAATGTTATAAGCCTCTGTAATAAAATAATACACAATGACTTTGAGGGGGTAGGGATGAGGGGAGATCAAGAAAGCGTCTCACTATGTCACTATGTAGCCCTAGCTAGCCTTGATCCTTCTGGCTCTACTTCTCAAATGCTAGGATTACAGGTGTGTATCAACCCTTATCTACAATTATTTTTTTAAATTATTTTTTGAGGGGTTAGAGATGGCTCAGCAGTTAAGTGTTTGCTCCTCTTGCAGAGGACATCAGTTTAGTTTCCAGCACCCACATGGCAGTTCACAACCACCTGTAACTCCAGTTCCAAGGGATCTAATGCCCTCTTCTGACCTTCGAGAACTCCTGCACACATGTGGTACACAAAGCACATACTCAGGCATACATACATAAAATAGAAAAAAATCTTTTAAAATACATATTTGTAAGCCAGTAAACAGCATTCCTCCATGGCTTCTGCTTCAGTTCCTGCCTCCAGGTTCCTTCCCTGATTTCTTCTTGCCATGACTTTTCTCAGTGGTACGTGGAAATATAAAATGAAATAGCACCCACCCAAGAAATATTGAGACAGAGCCCTGCTAAATATGCCATAGCCTAAACGTTACAATCCTTCTACCCCAGCTGCCCAAGTTCTGGGATTATAAGCATGTGCTACCAAGCCTGTCTTCTAATTTTTTATAACACAGAACATAAAATTCAAATATCTATAATTATCTAGATAAAATGCAAAATTATCTAGACAAATTCAAGCACCTGTAATTAGACTGCAAGTAGATTAGTGGTTGTCTAAGTCTGAGGGGTGGTGATATCACTTTAGGATATTAACTGTTCCTCTCAGAGGAACCAACTACTCTTAATTAACTGTGGTGATGCCTGTCTATCCTCCTTTGGTAGTTTATTTTCTTCTCTTTAATGTGTATGAATGTTTGCCTACATGTATGTCAGTGCACCATATGTGTGCCTGGTGCCTGCAGAGGCCAAAAAAAGGGGGCAATAGATCCCGTGAAACTGAAGTTACAGACAGTTGTAAGCCACTGTGTGGTTTCTGGGGTTGAACCCAGGTCCTCTGGAAGAGCATCCAGTGCTTTTAACTGTGGAGCTCTCTCTCCAGCCCCTTTTGGATGCTTTAAATAAGTGAGCTGGAAATTCAGGTTTAAGATAAAAATAAATCTTAAAAGAAAATGAGTGACATGTAAGATTTCAATTATTTCTCAATAAAACTCTTTTTAACACTTTAACTCTTTGGATAGCAATAAGGTAATATGAGTAACTAACTAAACAGGAGGAGAGGCCTACAACAAATGGAGACCACAGGTACCCCCAAAGAGGACTAGCTTAGCTCCAGCTGTGAGAGGCTGGTGTATTTTCAAAAGAATTCTTCAACCTGAATTTTTATACACAATCCTGATTTTTTGGTAAACTTCCTGAAGAATATGGTAAGATGAATAAATAGGGCTGAGGTACAGCTAGCTCAGCGGTAGAGCACTTGCCTAGCACGCACAAGGCCCCATGTTTAACTCCAGCACAAACACAAGCACACTCCTTCATGAATCTTCACAGATTAAACACTCAAGTGACCAACATGAAGATGAAGCATAAAACATTACCAGGAAGCCAGTAAGGTAGTTCAGTGAGCAGCACAAGCGTGACAACGTCATTCAATCCTTAGGGAACTCCTGATACCATCTATCTGTAATCCAGCATGCCTGCATGGAGATGGAAGTGGAAAGAAGAGCCCCTAAGTTCAAAGGCAGTGAGCCTGGGATATGTAGCATAGCAGACACCAAGAAAGACCCTGTCTCAACAGGGTTAAGAAAGAACCAACTCCCCAAAGTTGTTCTCTGGGAGCTGGAGAGGTGGCTCAGCACTTAAGAGCATTAGCAACTCCTCCATAACTCCTGAGTTCAATTCCCAGCAACCACATGGTGGCTCACAACCATCTGTAATGGGATCTGGTGCCCTCTTCTGGCACATAGGTGTACATGCAGATAGAACACCATACACATAAAATAAATCTTTAAAAAATTATTTAAAAAAAAAATTGGGGCTGGACAGATGGCTCAGCAGTTAAGAGCACTGGCTGCTCTTCCAGAGGACCTGGGTTCAATTCCCAG